TTGGAAATTGCCAACAGGCGACATTCTCAGTGCCTTGAATGAGAGGGATGTTAGGTTGAGCTCCTTTAGAAAATCAACCTTTCCTCTTTATCTTTAATACTTTACTCTGATTTGATAGAAATATTTGTCCCTCCTCCTCTTCATATTTACTATTTTTATGCATGTATTTTATCCATACCTCCCCACTGTACATTCTTGCTAATATTTCCCTTCAATGTCAGTCCCAGTCTTCATGGAATCTTTTCTCAGCAAATTGTCTATGATTCTTATCCCTTGTTCTGTGATTACATAACTCTGCACATAGTCAAATGACTTCAGTAATTTTTCTTGGCTCTCTGATACATTCTTCCTCTTTGCAATAGTCTTCCTATGTGTGGGATCAGTATTGAAAAAAAAAACATAACTAGACTTGTTATGCTTTTTGGTTATCTTGATCCCAGAGTTTCTTTCCCTGTGCCTTTAATTTCTTTATTACCTAATTCATTTCAGAACCTCAACTTCAACCCCAAGAATCAATTCCTAGCCAAGATATTTTTGTGGGGATTCCATCCGTTGGCACAAAACAGGTAAGATTCACAAGGGATTACTCTTAGACCTCTATAGAAGGACAAGTCTGTGGTTGTTGCAGTAGGGTAGAAAAGCAGTGGAAGAGCCCAGAGAGATTGGTGGCAAAGGGCACTTTCCCAGGATGTAGTAGTTTTTTTTTTTTTGAGACAGTGAATGTCATGAATTGGGGTAAAACTCTAAATGTATAGTAAAACTTGTGTCTTGGGGCTGGGGTTAGCTCAATGGTAGAACATGGGCTTAGCATTCGAGAGGCCCTGGTTTCCATCTCCAGTACTGTAAAAAACCCTTATATCTTTCCATCAGTAATCATTTTCACAGATTGAATGCAGGTATTGAGTGTTTAAAACTTAATTTTGCTTAAGTAATTCAGAAAACCTCTGATCTAAGAAGCCCCAGGAAAGTAATGAAAAGAGCTCTGGTGGAGAGTGTCCACCCTGTGCCTCTTGAGGGAACTCTGAGTAGATGTAGGACTTTCTCCTGAATTCAGCTTACATGGGGAAGACAATCTCTGAGTGTGATAAAGCTTTGTTTTCACGTTTTCCTTAACCGACAGGAGCAACCACAGCCTGGAGAAGATCTCTATGAATATAATGAGCCAGGGAAACCCTTTAATACTATTGAACCAATATTTCAGGCAATTTCTGCTGGAGAGGCCCCCCATGAATGTCTAGAGAGCAGGAAGTCCTTCTTCCAGAACACTCACCTAATCACACCTGAAAAAATCCGCAGCATGGATAAGACTTATGCATGTGACCAGTGTGAAAAGTCCTTCCGCTACAGCTCTGACCTTCTCAGGCACGAGAAGACTCATACTGCAGAGAAATTCTTCCAGTGCCAAGAATGTGGACAGGCCTTCAAGTATTCCTCGAATCTGCGGAGACACCTGAGAACTCACACTGGAGAGAAGCCCTTTGAATGCAATCAGTGTGGGAAAACCTTCACCAGGAACTTCAACCTGATTCTGCACCAGAGAAACCACACAGGAGAGAAGCCCTATGCATGCAAGGACTGTGGGAAAGCCTTCAACCAGCCCTCATCTCTCCGGAGCCACGTGAGAACTCACACTGGAGAGAAGCCCTTCGCATGCAGCCAGTGTGGGAAAGCCTTCAGGGAACATTCGTCATTGAAGACGCACCTGCGGACCCACACCAGAGAGAAACCCTATGAGTGCACTCAGTGTGGGAAGCCCTTCAGGACCAGCACACACCTGAACGTGCACAAGAGAATCCACACGGGGGAGAAGCTGTATGAGTGTGCAACCTGTGGTCAGGTCTTGAGTCGTCTGTCCACCCTTAAGAGTCACATGCGGACTCACACTGGAGAGAAGCCCTACCAGTGCCAGGAGTGTGGACGAGCCTTTAGTGAGCCCTCGTCCCTCAGGAAACATGCAAGGACTCATAGCGGCAAGAAGCCCTATGCGTGCCAGGAGTGTGGGCGAGCCTTCGGCCAGTCTTCACACCTCATTGTGCATGTGAGAACCCACACCTCGGGGAGACCCTACCAATGCAATCAGTGTGAGAAATCCTTCAGGCACAGCTCCTCACTTGCTGTACACAAAAGGACCCACAGTGGCAGAGAGAACATCAGGAAAGGTGGCTTGCCTTTGTCAGCATCTCACTCCTACAGTGGCCCCTCGTCAGTTAGCTGTGGGTTTGTAGAAGTGTAAACATTTGGGCTGCCATTGTTCTTAGAATACTTGTTAGCATGTATCTCATGTTTTCACGTCCAGCAGATGAAAACAGCCCTGGCCTGTTTATTTCTTCTTACATGAAAAGAATGCTTTCTTACTAACACAAGAAATTGTTTTTGAGGAAAGAATAGGAGTGAATGGGGGTGTGTATGTTTATTTCACCACAATCCCTAACTGACGCATTTAGCATGTCCGTTTATATAAACACTTTGTGGGTGGTTGAAATTAATGTATTAAGTTCTACATTAGCCCACTGGATCAAGCATATTATTTGTGTAAACACACACTTATAAATATTGATTTCTGATTGGTCATTTACTGAGAGAGGTATGTTATACTCCCCACCATGGTGATGGAGAACTGAATAATTCCATCAGTTTTTAAGTGCATGTGTATATTTTGAAGCAATGGAATTAAAGAAATCTTTTCACATTTTGTGCATTTCCTGTGAATCGTTACTTTTATAAACTGGCCCTTTTTCCCTAGTGATGGCTGTTCAGCCCTGTGCCCCGCGAGAGCCACTCACCCTTAGAGCTTGCTGTTAATAGACTGCAGCCTCTGCCGGAGGTGCTGCAGCTCTTGGTCTCCTCAGTGATGCCTTGAGGTGGGTCCTGTGTTCACCCCCATCAAACGTGGAAGCTGGGGCTCAGCAAGTTGAGGGGAGTACTCGAGGCCACCAGGTGAGGGACAGGGAGTGACTTTCTCATGGTGCTCTGATTAGCCTGGCTTTCATTTATACTGTGTTCTTTTATGTTTTAAAATACTCTTATTTGAGGGATGATTTACACCAAAGTTCATAAATCTTAGTGTGAACCTTGATGAGTTTTATGTGTGTCTACACTGACTACTACCCCATCAAAAGTAAATACTTCATCACTGCAGAAGTCTCCCTTGGACACCACCCCAGTCTGTAAGCCCTGTCCCCAGAGGTCACCACTGCTCTGACTTCTACCACCATAAGTTTTCACTTCCTGTTCATGGAAATTGAACCATACAGAGCCCTCTTCAGTTGTTTTTTCCACTGTATGTATCCCATATTCATGTGGCACCCCTCAATAACATGTCAGTGAGGGTGATCCACGTTGCGTGGTAACAGTGGCTGGTGCTGCCTTTTAGGGGCTTGAGCTCCTCTGTCAACAGCGCTTCTCCTGGGCCTGTGCAGCTGTGAACTGCCTCAGCGTCTCTGCCTCCATATCGTGTCCACCCCCTTTGCTGCCCCGACCACTGATGAGACTGTTTCTGCTCCACTCTGCATGTAGGTGAGTCCATCTTTTGAGGAATGTTTCCCCCAAACTAGCAGCACAAATCTTATTTGTCTGAACCCTCCCTAATCTCTCTTCCCCCTTCAAGGCTGATGATACCAAGATAAGCATAACTAAGACATTTTCAGGATTTACAGGAGATCCATGATCAACAGGTGGCCAGCGTGGGGCCATTGGAGAGATGTCTAGAAGTCTGGTCACCTGTCATTTCCTAACCTAACTCCCCTTCTTTCCCCCTTGCCTGAAGATTGAAAGGAGCTCAAGTGTCTGCTGAGTTAAGGCAGTCTTTCAGGTTGCTAGTCCACCATCAGCTCAGTTTTGTTGACTTAGCAAATAAATGATTTTTCCTCACCCCAACAACTGCCCTTGATTCATTGGACCCTTTTCAAGCAGGGGAGTAAACAGACTTGGGTTTGGTGGGAGATGTAAAATTTCCATATTTTATGTCCTTTTCACTGATTACTGTAGCAGTATGATTAAAGAGTTCCAAAGAAACAACTGTAACATTGTATTTATGCCTAACCTGCCTGTGTAATTCCTAACCTTTTTCTTACCCAGTGCTTTGTGATGTTGTGGTGAACAGAGGCATTGATGATCCTTGAGACAGCATTGGATATTTCCTATTGCAAAAGTGATCTATCCCATTGCCTAAAGACTTAAAAAATGTCAAAAGCAAAAATGCAGAAAGCAAAGCTTGTTTGAAAACTTACTATGCAGAGATAAACATGTAGCATATGCAAAAATATGTATTTGCACTTTATTTAGAAAATTTGGAGTATGCAGATATTTAGTGGGTTTTATTTAAGGTAAAAATTCTGATTTAGATTATTTTCATAATGAAAACATGATTATTAATGTAGCACAGAGTGTGGGGTTGGGTTCCTTCTCTCATGAACTTAAAGAATAAAGTCCCTGGACACAAGAATGATAGCAAAGTAATAGGATTTACTAGAGTAATAAGAAGAAAACAGAGCTCCCCAAGAGGAAGGGGTCTCAGAGAGGGACAACAAAGTGTGGCTGTTGTCTAGGGGTTTATCTAGATCTAGAGGTTTAAGGAAGTCAACCCCTGCCCACTCCTGATTGTACTAAAGGCATGCAGTGTCCAAGGAGTGTCCATGCAGCCTTTAGTACAGTCAAAATGTCCATCAGGCCTTTTTCCTGCCTTGGAGGGGCATGGACCAGAGTCACATAGGTCCTGACTTAAAAATAGCCTTTTTGTAAGTTTCTTAGCAAATATCTGCAGGTGCTGTTTGTACTCACTGCCCAGGAAGTGACCCAGGCCCATCTCCCTGTCTTCCCAGTTTCTCTCCTACTCTTTACTTCTTACTTACTAACATGTCTGTCAGGAAATTATCTGGGGATCAAATTTCTTGGCAATTTGGCCACTACTTCATGACTATGAAGATCTTGAGTGGAATATGACATTCTGGGGAATCCTTCCACATCCTCAGAAGCCCAAGTCCCACATAGAGCGTGCCGTCTTCCTTGTAGACACCACAATATTTTATTTCCATGAAATTTTTTTTGTTGTTGTCAAGAAGTTTAAGGCGAGTTCTATTCCTTTTGAATGCTGTGGATGTGAGCATCCTGGGAGGCTGGTTTTCTTGCTTCTAGAATTTTTGCATGGAAGAGGCCTCAAAGGAAGGGAGGGCAGTAGAAGAACGTTTAACAGAGAAACTGAGGAATTGGGCGGCAGATGGCATCTGGATGTTGACTTTGCTCAGCACCATGTCGGGCATGGACAGATTTCAGGTTCTGCAGGAGTTGAATGTCAGTCATGTCCTCCAAGAATCCCTTCACATGGCCAACACCATGGATTTCTTGAAACACACAGCACAGAGTCTTTGTCCTGTCCTAATGGTTCAAAAAATGACTTTTCAGATTTTCCATGGGGAAGGAGGATGTAGCTCCGATGATCTTTCTAATTATTCTGGAATGATTATTGAAAAATTACATTAGATTATTGAAAATAACTCAAGTTCCATTTAAAAAAGGAAAGAAAAGATTTGTTAGATAAAGAGATTTTAGCTGTACAAACAAGAATATGAGATGATAGGTAAGTTAATTTCCTTTATTACAGTAACCATTTTATTTTCTGTATATTCATGTGGCATACCCCAAATATATACAACGAGTTTTTAAATTATAGCTGTTAAGCCATTGTGCCTGGTGGATGACCACTGGAGGGACTTAGCAACCATCTTGCTCCCTAATTTTTAAAATTTTCAATTGACAAATAATTGTCCAGGTGAGCCTAAGGTCATCGTCAGGGTCTTTAGGAGAGTAAGAGGGGCTAGGAGACTCAGGGGTGGGGACACAATGATAATAAGAGGGAAGGAGGTGGGTGGGAGGGAGGGAGGGAGAATAATGTAAGGTCAGTGGACAGGCAGGCATGATGGTGGAGTCCAGGAGGGCAGGGGAAGCATGGTCTGTGGACAGGAGGAGAGAAATCCTGCCAATACCAGGGAACATGAGCTCTGGGAGCAGGGAGTGACCCTACCGGGCTGGGTCAGGAGGTGTTGGACACAGCCTTGCTAGACAGAGTGTAGGCCTCGGGTTCAGTTGTCCATTTCCAGATCTTCTTGAGCCATGTCCTGTACTGCTCCCGGACCTGCAGAGGCAACCCACACTGTGGATCAGCTCACAGAGAGGGGTGCGGGTGGGGAGGCATGGGTGGGAGCTGGGCAGGGGTACCTGTTGGCTGAGGAGGCAGTACACCAGGAAGATGAAGACGCCCTGCAGGCTGTTGACAATGGTGAAGAGGTAGGCTATGATGGGGGCCATGGGGCCCACCTGCAGGACACCCAGACACCAGGTGCAGCCCAAGATGAAGAGATGAGCCATTGCTTTAAATGTCAGCATCCTAGGTTGGGGAAGAATGGAGGCTTATAGTGCACCCTCAACAAAATCAGGGTATTCACTTCTCCACCCTTGGATGCACCTACTCTTCCCTGTAATCGATTTCTTGGACTGAGCTCTGATCTTTACTCTTAATGATACCTCACAATAGAAATGCCATTTTGGGTCCAGGATAGCTTTTTGACTTGGATCCAGGACAGTGATCAATTCATAAGCTTACTTCAAAAAATTTTATGATGTTCCATGAGGATCCCTAATTTCATTAGCCCAGCATTACTGAGGATGCCCTGTGCTAGGGCTTGGACATAAAAAAAACACAAAGAGAATCTGGGGGCAGGGGTGCACACCTGTAGCCCCAGCTACTCAGGAGGCTGAGGCAAGAGGATCACTTGAGCTCAGGGATTGGAGGCCAGCCAGGGAAACACTATCTTAGAAAACAAACACAGGACAAAATTTCTGTTTTCATTAATCATATGCTTTGTTCAAGTGGTAATACAACTAAATAATGATATGCAAAAATTTGAAAGGTTAATCAGAGGAACCCAGAAGAAAGAGTATGAATTTTACACCAGATGCTGAGTGAAGGAACAACCACGCCCCCTGGAGGACTGAACTGGAGTAGCGTTTATCTACAGGGAGGAACAGTTAGTTACAGGGTGGGAAGGATTCTGAGCTGAGGGTGGGGCAGTAAGTGCAGCCTGAGATGTGGCGACTGTCAGGAGAAGAACAATGCTCTTGGCACTTTTGCTGTAGAAGAGCTGAAAAAGAGTCCAAGCATTGCTGATCAGCCAACGCCAATTCCTCCTGAGGCTGAGGGAGTCCCAAGCTGGGATCAGAGATGGAGGCATTTTGGGACATCAGCAGCAGAGCCCTGAGTCTGAGATGGCAGCCGTAGAAGGGCAGCCACATTTGTTAATTCTGGGCCACTCAGAAGCCCCCAAGGAGGGACACGAGGGGCTGCCCAGGCACATGGCTTTGCTCTTGGGCATCATCCACCTGTGTGGGGTTGTGTCCCCTGCTCCATCTCACCTCGTGTTCTGGAGGGTGGACACATCTCTGTTGATGGAGGACAGCTTGGTCTTCACAATCCAGAGGGTCATCAGGAAGAAAACCAAATTGACCTTCAAGAAACCACAAAGGAAAGACAGCAGCATGAATCTGACATAATTTTCCTGTGTACATATATGACAGCATCACAGTGAATCCCACCATCATGTACATTCACGAGAATGGGCTCCTAACTAGATAAGGTATATTCCATGCTTGTGTAATTGTATCAGAATGGATTCTACCGTCACGTATAACTAAAAACGAACCCCCCAAAAGAAACCACAGGAGGTTTATAAATATCTTCTTTTCTCTTTTGCAGTTCTGGGGAGGGAACCCAGACCCTAGTGCATGCCAGGCAAGCTCTCTGCCCTTAAGCTATATCCCCATCAGGGAAAGTTTTATTGAATAAAAATTTAAATCTGTTATCTTTGCATTCTAGCCCTTGCAGCATCATTTACACCAAAGTGGCTTTTAGTATTTGACAATAGCGTTAGAATTTGTAGATGCAGAAGTCTTGGAAAACCCAACCCAACCCATAACAATCCAGGATAGTCCTGTTCTCATCACCATCCTTATAATCCTGCTCTCTAGTGACCCTCATGTGGACAGCAAGGAACTCTGATGACATCACTCACACAAGAGATGGCATAGGCGGGTCCAAGGAAGCCCCACACAAACCCCTGTTCTGGATTGAGCCAGCACCTGAGCAAGAGAGAGAACAACATCACTTTGCTGTGTTCATGTAGGACTCCATGTCCAGAGTCACTCCACACCACACACAACCACAAGGACAGGAAGCCAGACTCCCTGTATGTGTGATATGTCACAGTACACTCTACTGCTTAAGCTCTGAAATACTCAAAATGCTACTTTGGTTCAAGTGATGGCTGTGGACATGCTCGAGAGGAGAAGGACAAATGGGGTCCGCATTTACCGAGCAGGGGTGCCATACAGGTGAGGTCTGGCTGCTGCAGACACGGCCACGATGGCGGCCGGGACTCCGTAGCCCACAGGGAACATGAGCCTCCTCATGAGCCTGTTTCTGCTGGAGGAACTGAGCACAGTCAGGTTCCGTGCCGTGAGGAAGAGGAACAGCCCCTCCAGCAGCATCCAGGTGAAGGAGGCCAGGTAGAGGTAGTGCAGGGCGCCCGCGGTGACCGCGCACAGCACCTGGGGAGGAGAGAGACCCCGGGGCAGTGTCAGGGTCTGGGCTTGGCCCGGGATGCCCCCTGCGCCCTGTGGCGGGGGATTCTGCTGTGCACCAGGCGCTGCACTGTGGTGCTTCAGCCACGGACTGCGTGTGTGCTCCCATAGATCACAGCAGAGCTGGAGAGGGCCTGCTGCCCAGTGATGTCACAGCCTCCCAGTGCTGCCCTGTGATGTCACAGCCTCCCAGTGCTGCCCTGCGGGGTTCTTCATGCAGTAGTGTTGATGTCACAGCCTCCCAATGGTGCCCTGAGGTGTTCCTCATGCACTAGTGGTGACTTCACAGCCTCCCAGCGCTGCCCTGCAGCGTTCCTCATGCAGTAGTGGGGATGCTCTTGTGCACAAACCCGCTGTGCTGCTGGTTACCGAACAGCAGGGCCACACAAGGTTGGGCAGGACCTAATACTTACTAATGGCATCCAATGATCATGTGGCAGCTTATGCACTTACTACACTATGCTTTTCACATTATTTTAGAAGTGACTGTAGTTCACAGGGTTTCGTATCTTCTCTCCAAATGGTGCTGATCCTGGGAACAGCTGAGGACGCACACTGAATGACAGTATCAGTAGCTGGATATTCACCCATCCCTGGGCTCTTAAGAGACAGAAGCTCATTAAGTAATTCCTTGAATCAAAGCAGAGAAGATAATCAACCCAGAAGGTGGGAAGACCTACAAGCAGCAGGAAAGAGCAAGGGAGCAAACCACACAGCCCACAGCACTCCAACAACTGACTCTGTAGGCACAACAGCAGAGGAAATGTTGGAGAAGAATTTAGAAAGCTCCTAGTTAAAATGTTGGAAGAGCTAAAAAAGATGTAAGGAATGAACCTGGAGAAGTTACAGGAAGTGGAGGATGATTTCAATAAAGCCAGATTCTAAAAATGAACGAAATAGGAATTTTGAAAATGAAGGACTTGATAAACCAAATTAAAAATTCAGTAGAACCTCCTGTTTCTCCTCGTAAAAAATGTCTGCTGTAAAACGGGGTGCCCTGTGACGCCAGCCAGTCACCTCCATCTTGTCTCCTGATTGAATCAGGAGGCCACGTCCCGTGATTGACGGATGCCATCTAGTATTTGCGTCAGGGTTCACCCTACCTGGTCCCCTAATGAAGGGATTTCCCCAGGATGCAAGCCCTGTTGCTAAGCAACAAGAGATGTAGGTGATGGAGTTGTAAAGAGGGTTTGTTTTCTCATTGAATCCGTCAACGTGAAATGGGCATCGACCTCCTCTGGATTTCCCCGGGTCCAGGCTGTTTGATTAGGAGCGGGGCAGCCTGGCTCCTGAGTTCAAGCACCCCTGGGCGGGCGGGGCAGGGACACCTGGGTACCTTGGGCTGGGTTCTGTCGATGGCCGTGAGGAACAGCAGGTGGGCCAGCAGGAGGCAGAGCGAGAGCTGCAGGTGCAGGGAGGTGCTGGTGTTCTGGATGGCTCTGCACAGGAGGAAGGTGAGGGCCGCCAGGACCAGGCACAGCAGCGACACGCCCAGCCCCAAGCACGTGATGAAGTCCAGCACAGGGTCGTCGTCCTGGGGCAGAGGGAGGAGCCTTCACAGCCAAGTGCCCTGCTGTGGGGTAGGGACCTTCTGCTATCTGAGTCATTTGGTGCAGCAGATTCAGGAATGGAGGGACCGGGTCCATGTGTGAAGCTGATAGGGGAAGGGCTCCAGGTTCAGAAGGTTGGACTGTAAGGTTTTCTGAAGGGAGCAGGTAAACAGAAGTTGTTTGTGTGGATTTTGTTTTTGCAACATATCTGTAAATTTGAAATTGTTTCCCAAGAAAATGTATATATATATATATATATATATATATATATATATATATATATATATACACACACACACACACACACACACACACACACACACACACACACAAACATACAAAACAGATGTTCGGTTGATATGCCTGAATCAGCCATAGGAGAGTGCAGCCCCTGGTCCCTCATCCCTTGTCCTGACACCCCTTGCCCTCTGTGACCTCCTTATAACCAGATCTTTCTTTTTGCAAACCACTAACCATGACCACTCTAGTCTTACAGATCCTGGTAGTGAACAGAATTCTAATTTATCTTTACATCTCCACTCCTTGCTGTGACACAAACCTTTTTCTAGTTATTCAGTCCTGTGATAAGCTAGGTGTTGGGATTTTGCAGGTGGAATTTAGATTATTGACTTTTAGATTAGGGAGTTTATTCTCCTGGGTCTGGTGTAATCAGGTGATTGCTTTAAAGACCTGGACTCTTCCTGTGAAAACACATTCAAAACTTGAGAGGGATTCCACAAGAGGGACATTTTCATGCTGGTTTTTAGATGGGAACACTGGTTGTTTGTGAGAAGGCCAACAAGAGAGCCATATGAGAAGAAATGTGGGTGGCTCTTAGGAACTGAGTGTGGTCCCCCCTGACAGCTGCTAAGAGAAGGGAACTGGACTCTGCATGCAACCAGGGAGCTGGAGGAGGGCTGCAAGACCCAGGAGAGACTGTGGCCCTGAATGATATGATCTTGTCAGTGTTTTAGAATCTGTACAAGGAACTCATCCCCCTGTGCTGGGTTGCTGACCCACAGAAACTGCAAGGGAACAAATTTGTTTTACTTCAGCAGCGACATTTGCATAAGTGTGTTTTGCAGCAATCAATGCTGAAGGCAGCCTCTCACCTGCACATGGTAGTGGACCATGAGGATGGCAAAGCTGCTGAGGTGGGTACAGTGGCAGGTGGTGCTGCCACCTCCAGTGCCCACTGTTCTGCAGCCTGCAGTGGTCCAGTGACTCCCATTCTGGCTGTGGTCCCAGGAGACACAGAGCACCTCATGCCTTGGTGCAGGTGTCACCAGCTGTAGTAACAGGACAGGGGTGTGAGCTGGTCTTCCTGCGCTCAGAGATGCTCACCCAGGAAGGGCTGGCTTTCCTGTGTGGGGTGCACCTGTGGGGAGTCCTGCTGAACCTCAAGGTTAAGAAGACAACAAGGGTGTGCCTGGGCCTGGGGCTTTTCCCACACTGTGGTCCCCCCCCCCCCACACACACACTCACAGGATGGGAGAAGGTGAAGGTAACTGGCGAGCTGAGGTTCTGGGTGTCCTTTCTGCTCAAAAAGGCTGAGATGATATCCGAGAGCAGAACAGGTGAGATTCTCTGCAGCAAATCCTCGTGTGTCCCATGGGGAGCCACCTGCTTTTCAGGCTCCAGGACCAGGGGAGCCTCGGCCAGCAGCTTGGCCATCCCTGGGGTGGAGACCAAGCCCACCACAGAAGGGCCTGCAGGACGAGGCCATGGGTGAGTCTCAGGGTCTCCGCCAGGGCCTCCTCCTTAGATGGCCTCTGCTCCTTTTGAATTGTTGTATTATAATGATACATAATAGTGGGACTTGCTGCTCCACACGTGCACACAACAGAATGTGGCCTCATCACTCCCCAGAACTGCCCCTTTGGACACTCTTCTAGTGACCTCTTCCCACCCACATCACCCTTTAGTCTTTAATTCTGTATTTTGGGCATGTCTTCCCACCCTGAGGCCTCTTCCAAACAGGATGGTACTGGTGTAAGGTGGACATTCCACCTTCTCCCCATCTCAGATGTTACCTGTGTAACAAGATTCCTGTGCCAGATTCCAGTTCAGCTGCATCTTTGCCTGATTCAGACTCAAGGTGACATTGCCATCTCCTCGCTCCTGTACCTCTAGGGCCAGTTCTATGAGTCATGGGAAGAAGAAGAGTTATGTTCGGAATATATATATGTGTATATGTGGATATTGTATATGTACACGTGTATATCACATTTATCAAGGACCTACGTGTAACCTCCAATTCACTATAACCACACACATGTATATGTGTATATATAAACACAAATATATATACACATACATATATGTGGGGGGCCGTCACACTGAATGGCTAGCATTTTCCTTCCCATGATTGGTAGAGGCTCTGTCAGTCACTTTCGTAGTGGCCCTAGACACTGTCCTGATCCTCAAAGTAGCAGAATGTGTCTTCATGCATAGTTGTGGCCTCCCACAGCCCCAGGGGTCGAGTTACCTTTTCTGTCCTTGTAACCCTGTCCCTCTTGACCTTTTTTGGATGGAACTTTCTAAAGAATGAGGGTCCCTCCAATAAAAATTCACTTGCAAACGTGCTAGCTCTCTCTCACCAGCCTCTCATGACTTTTCCTTGCTCTCCCATTTGGGGGACTTGAGGCTGAGAGTGGAGGAGCTGTCCTGAAGCTTGGTTTAAAGTTAAAATATGTGTCTGTGTTTTATTTAGTATCCCAGTAAATTCACTCAAGCAACCTTTAGTTTAGCTGCCCAAGCTGGTCGGGGGCAGCATATATGTATATAATAATTCTTTGTTTCTTCAGATTTTGTATATATGTGTATTATATGTGTTGTGCATACATGTGTATATACACACACATATACAAAATCTGAAGCTACAAAGAATTATAACAGAGCAAATGTCACCAACTATTTAGATAACTTAGATGAAATAGACAAATTCTTATGGTCACACAAACTACCCAAACTGACTCAAGAATAAGTAAAAAATCTGTAGAGACCTATAATGGATAAAGAGATTGAATCAATAATGAAAAACCTCCCTGATGAACATCCGAGATCAGATGGCTTTGATTGTGAATTTCACCAGCCATTTATGGAAAAATGAACATGATTTCTTTTTAAACTCTTTGAAACAACAGAAGAGGGGACAGCATCTAGTAAGTCCTGGAGGCCAATATGACTCTGAGGCCAAAACCAGATAAAGACATCACAAGAGACCACATTGGCCTCTACAGGGCCCAGGCGCACAACATGCCTTGTACACCCCTCCCCCAGTGGGGCAGAGACCACCAGAGCCTAGCCTTTCATGCAACACCACCCCTTCGGACCAGCAGACTACTGTGGGAGGTCAAGCCCAGCGGCCTAGATCTGCCCACTCCAACTTACACAGGTTCCAGATCTAGGATGCAGTAGCATCCACTGAGGGACACCAGCAGGGTCTGGAAGGCCAACATCAAGGTGAGGTACAGACAATCTGCATGGGTACTACAAGAATATAGGGAAGAAACTGTAATATCTCAGATCCACACTGCAAGAAAGGAAGACACATAGACAACATGAAAAGACAAGGGAGGAAAGTGCCCAAACAAACCAGGACACTGTAATAACAGAACCCACAGACAGCACAGTTGATGAAATGTTGGAGAAGGAGTTCAGAAGGTTCAGAATTAAAATGATCTGTAAATGAAAGAATGACCTAAATGAGCAAATACAAGCAAAAATTGACCACTCCAACAATGAGATAAGAGAGCAAAGACAGGTAGCAAAAGATTACTTTAAGAAAGGGATAGAAACCCTGAAAAAAAAAACCAGTCAGAAATCCTTGAAATGAAGGATACAATGAATCAAATAAAAAACTCAATATAAAGCATAACCAACAGACTAAATCACTTGGAAGAAAGAAAATCAGATAATGAAGACAAAGTTTACAGTCTGGAAAATAAAGTTGATCACCCAGGGAAGAAAGTTAGAAACCATGAACAGATCATCCAAGAATTATGGGACAGCTTCAAAAGACCAAGTCTAAGAGTTATTGGGATAGAGGAAGGCACAGAGTTTATTTAAACCAAAGGAATGCACAATTTCTTCAATGAGATAATATCAGAAAATTTCCCAAGCATGAAGAACGAATTGGAAAACCAAATACAAGAGGTTTTAAATTAAAACTCCTTCTCTCACCATGCACAAAACTCAACTCAAAGTGGATCAAGGACATAGGAATTAAACCAGAGACTCTCCATCTAAGAGAAGAAAAAGTAGGCCCTAATCTTCATCATGTGGGATGAGGCCCCAACTTTCTTAATAAGAACCCTATAGCAAGAATTAACATTTATTGTTTCTTGGTTTTAACAAGAATTAAAACCAAGAAACAATAAATGGGATGAAATCAAATCAAATTGTTCTTTCTCAGCAAAAGAAACAACCGGTGAGGTGAATAGAGAGCCTACATCTTGGGAGCAAATCTTTACCCCTCACACATCAGATAGAGCACTAATCTCTAGAGTATATAGAGAACTCAAAAAGCTAAGCACCAAAACAACCAAATAACCCGATCAACAAATAGTCCAAGGACCTGAAGAGACACTTCTCAGAAGATGATGTACAATCAGTCAACAAACACATGAAAAAATGTTCATCATCACTAGCAATTAGAGAAATGCAAATCAAAACCACTCCAGTCAGAATGGCAGCTATTTTGAAGACAAACAACAATAAGTTGGCGAGGATGTGGAGAAAAAGCTATACTCATACACTGCTGGTGGGACTGCAAATTGGTGCAGCCAATATAGAAAGCAGTATGGAGATTTCTTGGAAAATTGGGAATGGAACCACCATTTGATCCAGCTATCCCTCTCCTCGGTCTATACCCAAAGGACTTAAAAACATTATACTAGAGGGACACAGCTACATCAATGTTTATGGCAGCACATTTCACAATAGCTAAACTTTTGTGGAGCCAACCTGGATGCCTTTCAGTGGATAAATGCATAAAAATGTGGCATATATACACAATGGAATATTCAGCAATAAAAGAGAATAAAATCATGGCATTTGCAGGTAAATGGATAGAGTAAGAGAAGATAATGCTAAGTGAAGTTAGTCAATCCCAAAAAACCAAATTCTGAATGTTTTCTTTGATATAAGGAGGCTGATTCATAGTGGGATAGGGAGAGGGAGCATGGGAGGAATAGATGAACTCTAGATAGGGCAGAGGGGTGGGAGGGGAAAGGAGGGGGCATGGGGTAATTAATGATGGTGGAATGTGATAATCATTTTTATCCAAAGTACATGTACAAAGACATGAATTGGTGTGAATATGCTATGTATACAACCAGAAAAAATAAATAAAATAAAAAAGAAGGTTAAAAAGAGGCACAAAAATACATGTATGAAGACATGAATTGGTGTCAACATACTTTATATACAACCAGAGATATGAAAAATTGTGCTGTATATGTGTAATAAGAATTGTAATGCATTCTGCTGTCATTTATTTTTTTTTAAAATAAAAGAATACAAATAAAAAAAGAAAGAAAACAAGAAACCTATATCTCTTATGAACCATAGACACAACAATCTCTAACAAAATATTAGGAATAAAATTAAGTAAGAGACTCAGGACTTGTACATAGAGAACTACAGAAGGTTTTGAAAGGCATTAAAGACCCCAAATGAAGGCAAGGACACCTTGTGTTCATGGATGGGGAAACTACATTGGTAAGATGGCCACATGCCCCAAAGAGATCTACAAAGGCAATGTCATCCCTATCCATGTCCCAACAGCCATTAATATTATAATTTTCTTAAATAGAAAAACTCCCCTTAAAACTAACACAGCATTGCAAGAGATCCAAGTAGTTAAAGCATGGCTGAAAAGAGCAACAAAGGTGGAGGACTCACACTTCCTGATTTCAGAACTGACTGCAAATGAGCAGAGCCCAAAGCAGCGTGGTACTGGCATGAAGACAGAGGGAAAGGTGAGCCCAGAAATAAACCTACACCTCTGCAGTCAATTGGTTTTCAGCCAGGGTCCAAGACCATTCAATGGGCATAAGAACAGTCTCTTCAATGATTGATGAGGGATTACTGGATATCCAAGAAAAAAGAAGGAAGTGGGACCCCTACCTCACACCACACACACAGATAACTCAAAATCAAACAAAGGCCTCCACCTAAGAACTGAAGCCCATAAGAGACCTTGGATTTGGCAATGGATTGTTAAATATGACACTGAATGTACAGCAATGAAGGAGAAAGTAGATAAAGTAGACTTCCTCAAAATTGAAAACATCTGACATTAAAGTGAAATGATTATCACAGATGTGAAAAGATAATCTATAGGGTGGAGAAATTCGCATTTCCAAGTTGCACATCTCATAATGGTTTTCTGTCAAAATAGATGAAAAGCTCTTACAACTCAGGAACCAAAGGACCAACCCAATCACAAATGCACAAAGGATCTGAACAGATATTTCTCCAAAAAGATACACAAATGGCCCAGAGGCACATGAAAAGATGCTAACCATCACCCGTCAACAGGGAGATGCAACTCAACCAGCAATGAGACATCTCCTCACATGCACTAGAAAGGCCATGATAAAAACCAACTGAATCAGAAGTAACATGTTTTGCCGAGGCCATGGAGAGGGGATCCTTGCACCCCGCTGGTGGTACTATGAAATAGTGTGGCCACTCTGCAAACAGTCTGGTGGTTCCCCCCAAAACTGAACACAGAATTACCATGTTACCTACCAAGTCCAGTCCTTACAGACACACCAAAGCACTGAGAACAGTTTTCAAACAAACACTTATACATCAATATTCTTAGTAGTAAGTCACAATAGCCAAGAAGTGGAACCAACCCAGATGTTCATCAGTGGCTGAGTGGGTGAGCTAACACCCATAGGATGGAATCATATTCAGCCATGAAAAGGGATGGAGTGATGCTATGCCATGCTCAACAGGATTATTCTAGGAGAAAGAAGCTAGAGGGACAGGTCACACTTTGTATGATTGCTTTTTACTAAATGGTGGAATAGGCAGCTCCATTAAGACAGCAAGCAGGTGAGTGGATGCCAGGGTTGGGGGAGGGGAGGAATGAGGGATGAAAGCTGAGGAGGCACTGTGTTTGATTTTGGAGAAAACTGTCTTAGAAATGGAGGTGATGGCTGCATCAGTTTGTGAATGTTCTTGATTCCACTGAAATGTCGAACCCTGGGTTTTAAATGGTGAACTTAATTGGTGAAACTTGTAAAATGAATTTTACCACAATAAAACAATTAATACCTAAATATCAAGCAAGATTAGTTTACATTACTCCAAATTAGCTTTTGGAAGCTGTTTCTATTTTGTTACCTAAAATTCTTAGAAAAAATTTTTTTTTTTTAGTTGCAGATGGACACAATACCTTTGCTTTATTCACTTATTTGTATGTGGTGCTGAGGATCGAACCCTGTGCCTCTAGGCAAGTGCTCTACCACTGAGCTATAACCCCAGCCCCCCTAAAATTCCTTATTGTCATTTTCTGCTGATAATGTATACTATATTGTAAATGTGAACTATTTTTGGTTTTCTGCCTTTTTCACTGTTGTGATTATTTATGTGAGTCACGCTGAGGTACAGTGTGGCCACTCAGCTCTAGTGGGATCAGAAGAGGATGAGTCAAGGAACAGGGGCTGGCGCAGACCCAGGGACTTACGTGTGCCTGCAGAATAATTGAAGGTTGCTGTCCCCTCAGGCAGAACCCTGCTCAGGTGTCTCAGGGCACTCTCCAGGCCTGTCAGCAGGTGAGTGGCCACATTGTGCTTCTGTGAGGGAGGCAGGGTCTCCAGGTCCCCAGGGGTCTCCAGTAGCTCATCCACCTCCTGCATGATCCCCTGCAGGGATCGGGGCACAGAGCAGGTGGACTGGGGCCAGAAGGTCCACATGAAGAACTTGACCACTCAGCCCCAGAGAGCAGACCCAGACACTGTCCAGTTGGAGACAGAGAGAGCATGGTTTGGGACTCCCTGGGTGGTCCATGCTCCTCAGAGGTCAGCCCTGGTTCGTGACTGTCATGGATGACAAAACCCAAAGACCAGGATGAGAGCAAGAGGACAGACAGTGCACGTGGGCGTCCAACAGTGTGTGTGGCTCCCAGTGTCCTCTTCCACCTGCCCTGGGAGAGTGGCCAGCTCAGAGCAGGACCCCACTGTGCTTGGGCCTGTCCCTCTCCCTCCAGTCCAAAGCTGTCCCCCTCACTCTGTGGGAGGTCTCCCCCTACTTCCCCTGGATCCTGCCCTTACCTGGATGGTGTCCTTGGCCACAATTGGCTTGAAATCCCTGTGCAGATTGTTGACTTTGTCAAAGAAGCGGGAGAGACTCTGGGGAGGTGAGATGAAGGGTCACGGGAGGGTGGGAAGCTCAGGGCCCTTAAGGGGTGGACAGGGTGCTGCCCCAGGGATCCCCATCTCCCTGTCCTGGCTGGGGCGCTCACCTGGCTGTGGACTCCAGGGGGAAGAGGCCAGGTGAAGAAGGGCATGACTGCGGGGACAGGACAGTGGTTCATTAGGAGGAGTGCATGTGTGCGTGCGTGGGTGTGTATGAGCATGTGCACGTGGGTGTGCACGTGTGTGTGGTGTGGGGTAGGTTCTGGAGTCAGGGCAGGCCGTGAACCTTTGCAGATGGTGCTGTTCCGGCCATTGACACTCCCAGGAATCAGCTCCCAGCCTGGGCGGCAGTGGCACTGGTACGACCCCAGGGTGTTGGTGCAGATGGTGGACTGGTGGCACTGATGCTGCCCGGATCTGCACTCGTCCACATCTGGGGACACAGACAGAGGGTCAGTCCTGCCTCAGCCAGGACCAGTGCTCTCTGCCGTCCGAGCTCCACCCCCTTCTTCCCGCCATTAGTGCACTGCCAGGCTGCGGTGCTGCCACCTGGAGACCCGCACCCTTGCGAGGTGGGCGCCAGATCAAGGGGTGTGCGAGGCCTGTGCAGGTGCAGACTGTGAGGCTTTGGAAACTCGTCACCCCAGTTAGTCACTAGCTGCTGCCCGGGGCCCTGGGAGCCTCCCGACAGATCCCAGCTCCTCCCCAGGACCCCGTCTTTCCTGTCCAGCCCCTGGAGCTTTAGTTGGCGCAGGCGCAGCAGCCCTGGACGTGGTCGGTTTGCCCGGGACGGTTGCGATCCCCGCTGGACTGCGGGCCTCTGAGTGTGGCCTCTGAGCCCGCACCTTCGCACACGGTGTTCTTCAGGCCGTTGGGGGATCCGCGCACTGGCTTCCAGCCAGGTCTGCAGCGGCACTGGTAGCTACCCAATTGGTTGAGGCAGTGGGCGGATTTGTGGCACGGGTTTTGTCCAGAGGCGCATTCATTCACATCTAGGACAAAGCAGGGGTCAGTCCCCGCCCCTGACCGGCTCCCACGCCCCTACTCACTGCACCCACTTCTCCATCATTTTGCCGTCCCGACCCAAGGACCTCTGCATGTGTCTCACTTGGTGACTTCAACTTCAGAGCACCCTATGGTGGCCTCCTTGCATGAAGGGCACAGCTGTTTACAGGAGGTGGAGCCAGAGGGAAACTGAGGCCAGGGGGTGGAATTTCCTGACCAAGGACTCTGGTCGCCCTCTTTCTGGCCATGGTGGATGCTCCTTGTCAGAACTGAAAGTGACTCTCTTTTACTCTCAGATGAAGACCAGGAAGGGGCTGAGGCCCAGATGGCCCTGCAGCCTCCCTTAGGCTGAGCCTGAGCCCCTTGACCTGTGGGAACCTGCAGGTCTTCTCCCTCCTTGGGCACAGGACCTGCCTCTGCTGCACCCCTGGATCCTGTCCACCCTCAGGGGTTCTCCTGGGGCCTCTACCTGTGCACAGCTTCGGGTCCTCTGGGTTCAGCTCAAAGCCAGGCAGACACTGGCAGGTATAGTTGCCCTGAGTGTTGGTGCAGGTGCTGCGGCCCTTGCAGATTCTGGGGTTCTGCTTACATTCATCCACTTCTGCAAGAGGAAGAAGAGGGACAGGATGTGGGAAGCTGGCAGCTTTAGGTGGCTTGTTGAGTTGGATGCGAGTGTTGTGATCAGAGGGTTTGGCTCTGTCAGCCAAGTCTGGGAGTCGGCCAGATTCCTGGCATGGAGGCATGGGGTGGACCCACTGTGTCCCCAGGTTCCTTTCCTAACCCACAACGAGGCTCTTCATGGGGAGCATGGTCTCCAGACCTCTATTGTCCTCCCAGTGCCCTCTGCCTCCCTGGGAGGCAGGGTCAGGGCCAGCTGGGTCAGGGTGTCATGGCCACATGTGTTCTGGCTTGAGGATTTGGAACAGAGGCCAGATGGGTCCTCCTGGGACCCGAGTGCAGGGGAAGCACTGAGCTCCCGAGTGGGGCCTGTCTTGGCTTCCAGGGTGGCCTTTGGCTTGATTTTGCTAGAGTGACTGCATGATGGCTGAGTTGTCCCTGGGTCACAGTGACCTAGCAGGACAGGTTCTCTCATCCCACTAGCTCTGAGAGCCCAGCTCCAAGGAGAGGAACCAAGATCCGTCCCTGAGCCAGGCCAACTGGGAAAGGACTTAATGAGGGGGACAGGAGTGAGGAACATGCCAGAGAGCCCTGGGTTGACATCCAGCCAGGCAGCCCTAGGACCGTGCAGGTGTCTTCCTGACCCCACGAAGGCATCCTTGTCCTATGGAGACTAACCGTGGGTGGACAGCAGCAGTGAGCAGAGCCATGGGGATGGGGAAGGGTGGCAGGCATTTCTGTCATCTGTCTTTCACCTCCACTGGGACACAGACCTGTGGCCTGCTGCGTGGGACCCAGCATCGTCTCTGTCCCCAGTGGTCAGGCCCCTGGGATCTGGATTGACCTCCTCTGGAGAGGGTTGGGGCTGGGCAGTGGTTCTACCTCATCCTCTCTTACTGTGTGTTCCAACCCGAACATCTTCTTCCACCCGACTCAGTGTCACCCTGCCCACCCCTCTACTGACACACCATCCTTCAGTGTCCTCAAGCGGACCAAAGTCAGGATGGAAAGAGCAGAGTAGAGAAATGAATGAGGCTGAGAGGTGCAGAAGGGCGTGGCTGACGGGGGCGTGGCTGATGAGGGCGTGACTGGTGGGGGCGTGTCCGAGGAGGGCGTGTCTGAGGAGGGCGTGTCTGAGGAGGAGGGCGTGTCAGAGGAGGGCTTCATTGAGAAAAGTGGTGGGGGGGTGGCGGCGGCGTCCTCTCCAGGCCAGAGTATTGGCTGTGGACTGGACCTACCCTTGAGTTTCCTTCCTCCTGAATTTCCCGACTGGGTCCCTGGGTCCATGGTGGCTAGGGCCCCAGGAGTGTTCCAGGTGGCTGAGTCCTTGTGGGCCCTGGAAGGGTCAGGGCTCATCCCAAGAGCCGCTAGCATTGGGAAGAGGTCAGAGTGGCGCTGGAACGAGCTCGCCACAGGCTCCTGGGATATCTTGATCCCTCCCCCTTGCCGTTCATGAAAAACAGGTGCCAGTTAGGCAGCGGGGTGTTCTGAAGGTCCAGAAGTGGCCCTCTGCGGAGGGTTCTGAATTTTGGGGAGTGAACAGATATGGGCAGTCAAGAGTCTTGCATGGCCCTCAGATGCCTGGAGAAGGTGGGACAAGGAGCCCAGGGAGTGGGTACCAAGTCTGCCCATCATTGGCTCCATGGGCTGTGAGGCCAGTGGTCATATCTTCAGGTGCAGTTAAGACCACAGTGTTGAAGGGTGAGGAGGGAACGAGTAGGGCCCAGCTGAACCCTTACTGAGCTGAGCCCACGGGGGCGGGGGTGTCTTCCACCTCACCCCTGCTCACCCTGCCTCTGCCCATCCACCTGAATGAGCTCTGCCCCCTCACCCCACAAGTCCTGGCTTCTTTCTAATCTAGCAACACAGTGTGGGGCACAGAGGGTGTGCCAATAACAATAGCCACCATCTGAGGCCGAGGGCTTGTACTTAGGAGGATCCTGATCCTTAGGTGCAGTTGTCCAGGCTGCTCACTGCATCAGGGTGCCCAGGCACATGGTAAGCAGGGGCTGAAAACCAACCCACTTTCCATTCATCAGATGCAGCTGTGTCCACCTGGAGAGGAGGAGCTTTTTGAAAATTCATAAAAAAAGCTTTTTTCCTTTGGTCTAGGCTTGTACATATGACACAATGTGCATCCACGGGGACCCTGTCTGGTCAGAGTCCCCTTGATCCTCAGTTTAGCCAGGCTGTCTTACAGGCACCTGTAATTTTCATAATCCTCCTGGAAGACACAGGAGGTAGGCACTGTTATGATCACCTTTAGGATACAGATGGGTAGACCAAGTTCAAAGAGAGGTAGTGATTTGACTAATAACATGTAGCTAACAGGTGGCACAGGCAGGTTTTAGCCCCAGGCAGCCAGTCTCAGAGCTGGACCCTGGCATTCATGCTACCCTGCTTCTGTGCTGGGTGACAGGTACATGCACACCTGCCTGTCTCAGACCAGGGCACCACTCCTGTAACCAGGGTTCTGCTCTCTAGATGTCACAGGAAAGGGTCTGGCAACCTCAACCTGATGATGAGGAGGTGGGGGAAGGGCCTACCTTGCAGCTGTTCTCCTCTCATTAATAAAGGATTCTTGGCTCCAGAAATGGGCACACAGCCTGGGGTGCGCGTGCAGCAATTGTGCCCTGTATGACCTGGCCGTCTGCAGATTTCCCACGGGGCACTCTCATGGCCCTCATTTGGTGATGTCTGCAACATGACAGGTCAAAGGCTCACCTCCCAATGTTGTCCTTTCTCTCAGGGAATAGACCCTGGTGCTCAGCCTGACCCTGCTGTGAGATGTGGACAGACCTAAGACCCCAGGTGGACCTCCTGAGGCTGGGCTGCTCTGGAAGTCCCCAGGACCACTCTGCTCTCTGGAGCAGAGCCCAAGGACATGTGGGTTCAGATTCTGTGCCACGGTGGGGCCTGGCAAGGGATCTACATCTCCTCTCCATCCTGCAGTGGCAGAGGGAGGCCCAGCCATTCCCTGGACCCTCCCCTCTGGGAATCTTTGCACCACTGGGGTCCTATAGGTGGTCTACGCTCAGGGAGAAGGTGGCAGTGATGGCCACCCTTGATGCCTAAGCAGTGGGGGATGGGAGATCATGGCCCAGGGCTTCCCAGAGTGACACTCATCATTAACACCTGAGGATAAAGCCAGGTGCTCAGAAACAGAGCAAAGCTAGGCACATCCCATGACTTGACCTCAGAATCTGCTGGGAAGCTGTAGTGACAACACAGTGTGGTTCTGTATGGGGACAGACACACACAGCCACGGAGCAGAACAGACAGCTTAGAATAACCCACGTATTTACAGCTGATTTTTGATGAAGGTGCCAAGAGCGCACAATGGGAAGGACCCTTCAGTAAAAGGTCTGGGACCCTGGACATGCCAACCAGGAGGACATCAGACCCTCCCCTCACACCACATAAAAATCACCTCAGATTAAATAGTGAAGGTCAGATTGGAGCTGCCCAGCTGCTTAGCGGAGAGCACAGGGGAGAGCTGCGTGACGGTGGCCTGTCAGTGATGGTTTGGACGGGACCCAAGGCACAGGCAGCAAAATACGAACGGACCAAGGGGATCGTAGCCAACTAACAGCTTTTGAAAAGCAAAGGAAACAGTGGACAGAGTGAGGGACAACTCAGGGAACGGGAGGCACACTCACAAGCCCCGCATCTTATTAGGTGTCAATATGCAAAGTATCATGAGGAGCTTGATCAAGCAACTCAGCAGTAAGAAACCCGCTCACCCCATCCGCAAATGGGCAAGTGACCTGAACAGACGCTTCTCAAAGGACGACAGGCGAAGGGCCCAGAGACCCAGGAGAAAACCCTTGCCATCGCCAATCCTCAGAGGACTAGAAAGGAACTGTGATGAAAAGTAGCCTCACACCTGTGGGGTGGCTTTTGGGGAAGCTGGATGGGCACAAGGCTGGCCAGCAGTCAGAGAAAAGGACGCTGTGCACACCAGAGCTGGGAACGAAAGTCAGCCCCGCTGTGACGGAAGCCAGTGGGGATGGTCCTCAGATATTAAAAGTAGAACAACCTCTGAGCCCATCCCCATCTCTGCTTATTTTTTATTTTGAGGCAGGGTCTCAGTAAGTTGCTTAGGGCCTTGCTAAGTTGTTGAGGCTGGCCTGAAACTTGTGATCCTCCTGCCTCAGCCTCCAGAGCTGCTGGATCCCAGGTGTGCACCACTGGGTCTGGCCAATGTTCTGTATTCTTGAAATCACCAAGGGATTAGGTTTGGGGTATTCTCAGCATGTGAGCCATCCCAGTGTGCACACATGTTTCAACACATCATTCTGTATATGATGAATGTGTACAATATTTTTATTTGTCAGTTAAAGAAATAAAGGAAAAAAAAAACAAGAAAACACTCGTTGAGAGGGATGAATGAGATGGTTGTGTAACAGGAATGTCCTCAGTGCCACAGAACCAGTATACTGGAATGTGGTTAAAATGATAAGATTTATGGATGCAGATTTCATCACAATTTAAAAACCCTGCCACTGAGCAGCAACAAGGAGAACTAAAGCGAGGTGCTCAAGCAGGTGAGGTGGCACAGGCCTGTAATCCCAGTGACTCAGGAGGCTGTGGCAGGAGGATTGCAAGTTCAAGACCAGCCTCAACAACAGGGAGGTCCTAAGAAATTTAGCAAGACCCTGTCTCCAAATAAATAATGAAAAGGGCTGGGATGTGGTCAGTGGTAAGGCCCCAGGGTTAGATCCCCAGGACCAAAACAAAAAACCAAAAATAAAACAAACCCAGGTGCTCAGGCCCCAGCCTGCTTCCAGGTCCCACCTGCCTTTCCTCACAGTGGCACAAATGCACACTTGATCGTTCCCAGGAATCCCCCAGCTCCTAGTGTGGCACTCAGAACTGTGGGTGGACACTGACAGGCTTTTCCAAGGTGCCCAGCTGGTCTCCGGGGAGTCTTGCTGTCACCACCCCTGGAGGAAGTTCCCCCTTATCAGAGAGGGCCACAGACACGAAATAAGGAAGCTTCTGGAAGCAGCTCCCAGCTGAGGCCCGGGGGTGTTTCCTGGCGTCTTATCTCTCCTGGTCTCTAAACGTGAGGGGAACATGCTTAGGAAGCAGGTCCCTTTTGAGTGCCACAGGGACCCACAGGACAGAGGCACGAGGTGAATGGCCACCCACAGCAGCCTCAGAGAACCCAAGACAGGAGTGAGTGACAGCTCATGGCAGATGGCCCTGGGTGTCCCAGAAAGGGGCCAAAGATTCCCGGAGCCCAGAGGATTCCTGGGGTCAGGATGAGGCAGGGAGGGCTTCTGGTCTCCTGGACCCATTTTTGCATCTGAGGGTACCCTGCTGGGACCCCTCATCTGGGCTGTGTGGATCAACACCAGGACGGGCCAGGACAGGGGCCAATGCACCCTAAGGGCCCCTGTCCAGCCCCCAAGGGGCGATCACAGTCCCCTCCCCTGTTCCCAGCTGGTAGCAATGGCTGCAGAGGTGTGGCATAGGTGGAGGGGACGAGGTGGGGTGTGGTCGTGTGGGGACAGCTGGGAATGAGGTGCAGCAGCACCTCCAGGGGACCTTCCACCAACTCCCACATTTCCCCACATCCTGGGCTCAGCCCCCCCCCTCCCCCAGCTCCCTGGGTTCCCCAGTAATGAGCCACTGAGAGCCACCACCTCATGGGATCTCTGGGGCTCCAGGCTCCTGGGGGCAGGTACAAGGAGGGCTTCAAGAGAGGAAGTGGTTTTGCTGATCCCATGCTGCTCACGGGTGGCCAGTCCAGGCTTCGGACCCAGGGAGCTGATCCCTGCCTCTGACCTTGGCCTTCACACCACCCTCCCTCTCTGTGCTGGGGGGAGAGTGGCCTGGAGTGGGCACCACCTGTGTCAACCAGGGCCTTGGCCCCTGTGTGTCACAGGATACCTCTGTCCCAGTCCTCTGGCTGACACCCCTGGATCTGGACCCAGGGGACAATGCTGAGGTGGGCGTGGAGTGGAAGCTCCTCATCCCCCCAGACCTAAGGGCAGGTGAGCACAACTCCTGGGGCCCAGGCCCTGTTCAGCTCAGAAGCCATTGCTAACAGCACTTTCTGGGAGCCAGGACCTGCTCAGTGCCTTTGAATCTCATTTCCTTCCTTATGACTCTCTCTTCTCCTACTTTGTTCCCTGGTTGCTGAGAGCCACAGCCGAATAGGAATGATGCATGGCATTTGTGCCAGAAGGGAGTGGTTGGGAGCTATTGAGATGATGATGGTTATGTTAAGCTGTGTATTCAATTGTATATTACACCCCTGCTGTCTTCAGGCCTGCTACTTTGGAGTTCTCCTGGGGATTCCTGGAGAGTTCGAATTGGTTGGGGAAGTGCTGGAGGAGGAGGGATTTCTGGTGTGTGGTGTTCCTGGAAGGGCCGCGTGGGTGGCAAATAAAGGAGTTCCTATTTTGAACCCACAAGTGCCTCCGGCTGGCTCGGTTATTTTGTGCCCAGCCAGACTGTGGCACCTGGTGCTGAGGACTGACCCAGGGATTTGCACCTGCTAGACAAGTGCTCTATCACTGAGCTAAGCCCCAGTCTAAGACTCCCCTTCTGCAGATGGACACACTGAAGCACAGAGAGGTGAGGTGACTTGTCTGAAGTCACACAGTGAACAAGAGCAAAGCTACCTCTGGTTTGGTTTTGATTTTCTGCAGTGGTGTGGAGGGAGCCCAGGGCCCTGGTCATGCCAGGCAAGGGCTCTGCCCGGGAGCCGCACCCCAGCCTCTACCTTTGTTTGTAGCTTTAGAAGATAGGGGCTCCTTCCTGTGGCTTTTGTTTTTTCTTTGTCTCTCCCCCACTTTTTTCTCCTTTGGGATGGGGTCTCTCTGTTTCCCAGGCTGTCCTTGGACTCCTGGGCTTGAGTGATCCTCCTGCCTCAGCCTCCCAAGTAGCTGAGACCACAGGCACTGGCCAGTGTGCCTGGATTTTTTTTCTTTTTTTTAAAAAACACAATGATGTCATCACATCACACATGTCCACAGGGTTTCCTGAAGAGCACCCTGGCCATCGTCACAGGCACACTGAGGATGGGGCCAAGCAGCTGGTCCTAGAGTGCCCTGACCCTCTCCCTTCTCTCATGCTGGTGACAGGTGGACGCACAGCTGCCCCATCTCACAGTCCAGGTGCTGAGGCTATAACTGGGCGCTGTCCCCAGATCAGCTGTGGTCCTCTGACCTGCATGTGGGGTTGGGGTGAGGAGTGGGCCTTACCTTGACATGTGTTCTCACTCTCATTAGTGAACTTTTTTGCCCCAGAAAGGAGCCCATAGCCCAGGCTGCACATGCAGTAGTAGCTCCCCTCCATATTGTGGCAGTCTGCAAATTTTCCACAGGACACTTTCATGGGTGGCACACATTCATTGATGTCTGCAACAAAATAGGACCAAGGGTCACCTCCCAAAGGTGTGTGGTCTCTCAGAGAAGAGACTCCTGTCCCCTTCCTAAACCCCCAGCATGGGGTCTGACGTTGAGTTAGTGTCTTCTGGACAGAATCCTGAGCTGTGCTGCTGAGGCTGTGCTGTAGCTGGAGCAAGCCCTTCCTAAAGGCCACATAATCTGCTCTGTTCATCTCAGTCCTCTGGCTGTGTCCACTCCCAGTTTGGACACAGGGGACAATGCCAAGGTGGGAGTTGGGCTAGAAGATCAGCATCGTCCTCTTCAGACCTAAGGGCAGGCTGAGACCAACTCCTGGGGCCCAGGTCCTCTCTGTGCAGGAAGCCATGCAATTCCCTGGTCTCTCTGCCATCTTGCTGTTTCCTTTCTCTTTTCTGTCTTTGATGATGGCCTTGAGGTCAAAGGCTCAGCCTTGACCATTACCCATGACCCCACTGGCACTGGGCACCCGCAGTCTCTGATGTGCTCTGGCCCCCCTCCCCCGTCCTCTTTACCTTCACAGATCTCCAGGGGGTCAGTGAAGATCTCTGTAGATGAAGAGGCAAACCCCGGCTTGCAGCGACAGGCAGTGGCATTGACACATTCCGAGTTAGGAGGGCACCGGGGGTTACAGGCTGTGGGGGCACAGACTGGTCAGAGGCTGGGAGGGGGCAATGTGGTCCCCAGAGGAGGTTCCAGGAGGTGGGGAAATGCCCTGAGCCTCCCTGCCCAGGCCTCTCCTCCCTGGGCTGCGGGTGCAGGGCCCCTCCCAGGCTCAGGCTGTGGACATGCTGCTCCCCCACACTCACCCTGAGAGCCCTGGGCTCCAGCTCTGGAGAGACTCAGCAGGACACACAGCAGCCCTGTGACACAGAGAGGGCAGGTCAGCAGGCCCAGCAGGCAGAGGAGGCTGGAGGTGATGCACTGGAGGGCAGGGGCTGTGGACCCTCCTGGGCTCAGACCTGGTCCACTCCTCAGAGGGAGCCCAGGTGGCACCTCCCAGAGGGTCTGGGGGATGGGAAGGGGGCTGAGCCTGGCAAGCTCTGGGCTCCAGCCGTGGCTCTCCTGGCCTGTGGGTGGGGGACTGGGGCCTGGTGGCCCTGGTTCAGACCCTGGAGCACAGGCAGGCTGCCTCACTGCCCGCCTCAGTTTCCCTTTCTGTGGAGTGGGTACAAGATGACACCCACGTCCTAGGGTCACGTGGGAACAAACCCCAGTGTTTCAGTGTTTACCACCATTGCTGACCTTTAGGTGGGAAGGTAGGGTCAGGGCCAGCTGTTGTCTCAGGTCCCCTGCCTGGTCTCTCAGGTGCTCTGGCCCTGTCCCCTTCCTCAGGGACACACACCACACCAGCCTCCTGGCCTGTAGCTGTGGTTGGAGCACCTGAGAGTCACATCTGCCACCACCACTGTCAGCCCCACGGCCTGTCCTGGGACCCCATGGTGCCCTATTACCCCCCAACAGGAAGGTGCTGTGGGCAGGTGCTGGGCTCAGGCTGGGGGCCTCCTCCTGCTGTTCCTGCCTCTCAGCAGCTGCCCCCTCCCAGGGCACATCCTGGGGACCCTCCTTAAGTCAACGGGGCCTTAGGTACATGAGCCTCTTGCTGTTCAACAGAGAGACAGGCGAGGAGTCAAAGAGAGTCTGGTTCTCAATCCCTAAAATGAAGTCTAGGGGTATTGGTGGTTCCTTCTTGGTCAGTTTATCTAATGCACTGCCTGGACAGCTGCTCAGGCTCTAAACATTGCCGTGAGGCCTTCATCAGAGGAGACCCCACTGAATGTGAAGACTGCAAGGAAAGCAAATCCCCTCCCTTGTGTGGGGCTCATCTAACCCATGGAGGCCCTAAGAGACCAAGACTGGCCCCCTGAGGAGGACGGAGTTCTGGCCCTGACTGCTTCTGGACCTGAGATGGAACATCAGCTCCTCCCTGGTCCCCATCCTGCCACCTCCTCCCTGGTCTCCATCCTGCACTTACCTGGCAGAGTCTGGACTTCTCAGCCTGCACAATTGCATGAGCCATGTCCCTAAAATATCAATCTTCCCCTCTCTCTGTAGCACCCCATTGGTCCCATTTATCCGGAGAGCCCTGCTGCAACAGGGAACAAATGAGAAATCCCTGCTATGTGCTAAAGTTTGCGCTAGGTAGTAACTTTCTAGGAATAACTTTCTCCTTTGAGAACTTAATAATTAAAAAAAAAAAAAGAGCTGACATCCTTTACAAATACCCTCCCTGCTCTCCTTTACAGGGACAGTGAGAAAACCAGCCATAAATGAAGCAAAGGACTTGCTGGTGGCTCCTAGATCCCTTTCTTGCCTGTCACATGGTCATGATTCGACTTACCGTGGAGCAGTCTTAGACATCCGCTCCTCATGGTGCCGAGACCAGCCAGCCTAGTGACGGTGGACTTCTGGTTCTGGTTGGAGTTAAGAATGCTTCCTGTTTAAATATGACTCGTGACGAAGTTGACCACAGAGAGGAAATCATGGTCTGGATGCTTTCTTCCTCTGATCAGTTCCCTGGTGAATTTCTCAGAACTCAGAGGTTTGTTGCCAAATATTTGCTTAGTTTGGGTAATAATTGTGCTGAAGATCTCCTGGGGGTGACTCATGTCTTCTGAGACAAGAAGGTGGGACACTGTGCATTAGAATCTCAAGCATGAAGGATTTTTCTCCTGGTCTTCTTGCCCCGTAAGGACCTTGGTTCAGAATGAATAGACTTATCTATTTATTACCTATCACTAGACTTACTTGTGTAACTTACATGAAAACAAGCTCATGATTAAATATAGAACTCAGGGCTTCAGTAGATGGGGACAGGAGAAGTCAAACAGCTAACACGTGACTCTCCTCTGGGGCAGAAAGAAGGTGAGTCTGTGTAAGTTTGTGTCTTACTGTTTCCTTTCCACCAAAAGCACCGTGTCCTCAACCAGAGACAAGACTTGGCATTCCCAACACTCACACCTGGAAAGTCTGAGAAGGCAGGTCCTGCAGAGCCACCTGGTCCCCATACTACTATTGTTTGTTATAAATTTTAGCATTATTTTTTCTGTATTTATCCTTCATAATCACATTGAAATGAAAATGGGCATTTGCTGTGAAAAATCAGACTATTCTTTTGAATACCCAGAAGACATCTTATTCCTTGCAGTCTTTATTGTTAAGTGTGCTAGTGTGCCGTGCCTACACTGTAGGTTTGAATGTCCCTACCCCCGGGTTACACCAAATTCTGTATTGCTTCCTGATCCAATCTGAGTTCATTTGTAGAAATCTCATCTGTTATGAATATGATGTGTGTTCTCCCTCTTAAGTTCTAAGCTGACGCTTGTAACAACTAAATAATATTAATAAGCATATGCACTATTGAAAAAAATATCATTACTAATGGGGGATGTTATATTTTTAAATCACTGCTCCTAAACCAGGCTCCTCACCTTGCACCTGTAAAAAGATACAATATTATACTGTAAGTATTAACTTGATAAAACCATATGCATTATATTTCGACTTGCCTTTCCCATTCAACTTTGTGTATTGGAGGTTTTTTAAATATCAGCACATGAGCTGTACTATGGACTGATGTGTTCTCTTTTTAAAATTTATACTGACATACCCTATTTATTTTGCTATTCTTTATTGATGGTTGCTTGTATGTTATGAAATTTTTTCACTCTTGCAAATATCCTGCAGCAAACCTTAGAGCTTTCAGTAAACATGGGATTGTTTAATGTGATGTAGATTAAAAGAAGTGTGATTGCTGGGCCTTAGGTATGCACCACTTAAATTTTCATAACTGGTACCAAATTGCTGAATAAAGTGTCTACATAAATTGACTCCAATATCTACCAATAGGAATATCTATTTCACCCCTGGTCTAACAACTATTAAGTATAATCAATTTGGCAGATTTTCCTGAACTAATGCTTGAAATATTAGCTCTCTTTTAAAAATTAATTTCAGTTTCCTTGATTGCTGGGTATTTATTTGCCATTTGTTTTTCTCTTTCAGTTAAGAACATATAAATTTCTCTTTGTCCCAGTGGCTCAGGAGGCTGAGGCAGGAGGATTTCAAGTATAAAGCCAGCCTCAGCAACTCAGCACTAAATAATGCTGCTGTGGTCATTGGTGTGCAAGCATCTGTTTGAGTCCCAGTTTTCTGTTCTTTGGGGTGCACATGGATTGGGTCAAGATGCTGGGTGATGTGATAATTCTATGTTTAACTTTCTGAGGAACTGCCCAACTGTTTTCCACACTGGCTGGACCATTTTCCATTCCCAGGAGTAGTGCATGAAGATTCCAGATTCTTCCCATCCTCACCAATATTATTATTTTCTTTTAAAACATGTTACTTTTTTCTTTTCTCCTTTTTTTAAACAAACTGTACAGTTCTTCATTCTTGGTGAAATTTCTACATTTTTAAAAAACTTTCTTTCCTACATCTATAAGCTTGAACAATTTCAATGTTTTCTTTTTATCTGAGTCATTCATAATTAGAATTGGTTGTCGTGCTTTTTATTTTTTAATTTTTATTGAGTTTTAAAAAATAAGTAATAGTGGAATGCATTACAATTCTTATTACACATATACAGCACAATTTTTCATATATCTGGTTGTATATAAAGTAAGTTGACACCAATTCGTGTCTTCATACATGTACTTTGGATAATAATGTCCATCACATTCCACCATCCTTGCTGATCCCCTGCCCCCTCCCTTTCCCTCCCACCCCTCTGCCCTATCTAGAATTCATTTATTCCTCCCATGCTTCCCTCCCTACCCCACTATGAGTCAGTCTCCTTATATCAAAGAAAACATTCAGAATTTGGTTTTTTGGGATTGACTAACTTCACTTAGCATTATCTTCTCCAATGCCATCCATAACCTGCAAATGCCATGATTTTATTCTCTTTTATTGCTGAGTAATATTCCATTGTGTATATATGCCACAGTTTTTATCCATTCATCCACTGAAGGGCATCCAGTTGGCTCCATAGTTTAGTATTGTGAATTGTGCTGCTATAAACACTGATGTGGCTGTATCCCTGTAGTATGCTGGTTTTTTTATGTCCTTTGGGTATAGACCGAGGAGAGGGAGAGCTGGGTCAAATGGTGGTTCCATTCCCAGTTTTCTAAGGAATCTCCATTCTGCTTTCCATATTGGCTGCACCAATTTGCAGTCCCACCAGCAGTGTATGAGTGTGCCTTTTCCCCCACATCCTCACCAACACTTATTGTTGTTTGTCTTCATAATAGCTGCCATTCTGACTGGAGTGAGTTGACATCATAAGTAGTTTTGATTTGCATTTCTCTAATTGCTAGCGATGATGAACATTTTTTCATATATTTATTGACTGAATGTGTGTCCTCTTCTGAGAAGTGTCTGTTCAGGTCCTTGGCCCATTTGTTGATTGGGTTCTTTGTTTTTTTGGTGCTTAGCTTTTTGAATTCTTTATATACTCTAGAGATTAGTGCTCTATCTGATGTGTGAGGGGTAAAAATTTTCTCCCAGGATGTAGGCTCTCTGTTCACCTCACAGATTGTTTCTTTTGCTGAGTAGAAACTTTTTAGTTTGAATCCATCCTATTTATTGATTCTTGGTTTTAATTCTTGCACTATAGGAGTCTTATTAAGGAAGTTGGGGCCTAATCCCACATGATGAAGATTAGGGCCTAATTTTTCTTCTATTAGACATAGAGTCTCTGATTAAAATGTTGCTTTTTATATTACTTATTCACAACAGAATTGTCAATAATGTGTAATGATCATTTCAGGGCCATTGCCAAATGTGCAACCTAAACACATATCGTTTCTTTGTGCTGAGATCATCCAAAAATCTTCTCTTCTTGACTAAAAAACAATTACATTCTGATTAGCTTTAGTGACTCTAGAATGCAACAGAACACCAGAACGCATTCCTTCTGACTGTGACTTTGTGCTTGTTGACGACCTCTACTACCCTTCTTCTTCCCTGTCCAGCCCTGGTAACCATTAGTCTCCTCTCTGCTCCCCAGACACCAGCAGTTCTGAGTTCCACCTCCAAGGGGGATTCTGCAGTCTTTGCCTCTCTATGTTCATTTTGGGGTGTGAAGTGCATCTCACTGTGGTTTTGCATCAGGTTCAAATTTTGTTCTCCATAAGTAAAGTTTGGTTGGGAGACAGCCACACCCGCTCCTTTGGTGTCTATGATGGCTGCCACCCTCATGGCAGAGGTGAGTCACTGTGAGAGACCATGTGGCCTGTGAAGCCCAAGACATTGACTCTCTGCCCCTTCACAGAAGTTTGCTGGGACCTCCACTCAAGCAAGTAGGCAAGGTGAGAACCATGTTAGTGTGTGTGTGTGTGAGTGTGTGTGTGTGTTGCATGAGCTTCTCTAGGTTAGAGCTGCTGGGTGGGTGGGGGATGTGATGGACAGAAGGACAGTTCCCCATAGCTATCCACGCCTTCCTCTGTGCAACCTGTGATCTGTGGGAGACCAACCTCTAACATGCCTGAGTCACACTCCCTGGGTGGATGCTGAGGCGCTCAGTCACAGAAATGTGGCAGAGCTTTCCCTACCCTTCTTGGGTTCGAGGGACGGTGTCTGGTACATGGGTGTGTCTTGCTACAGCCCCACGGTGGAGCTGTGTTCACCTGTTCCTTTGTAATATAACCCCTTGCCCTGTTTAGGATAGAATCTTCCATGGAAGTGCCTTGAGTGTGTCCCCTTCTCTTACTGTGCCCTTGGGTGTCGCGACCCCTTGCCCGCAAGGAAGACGCAACTCGAGAATCTTCTTTCAACAGTTTATTCAGGCCCTTGATATTTCTTCTTCTCTCTCTCGGATGCCCCTCCCAGCCTTAATAAAGCATCCCAAGCCCCAATGCAAAGCTGCCGCGTGGAACTTTCTCACAGGGTGGTGAAAAATCATGTGCCAACTTTCCCAGATAAGAAGTTGTTTGTCACAGACCACAGCGGAGCCAGCGCCATCTTGTAATGGCGACCATAATCTGCAGAAACGGCAGAAGCGGCTCACCACACTTGGGTGTGGCCTACCTAGGTGTCAGTCAACCTGCTGACAGTGGACATCATGAAGATAGACTCAGCCCCCTGAAACCTGACCCCTTGTCTCATTTCAATAACTTCCTCAATAAAAAGGGTCAGCAGTGCTCTCTCTCTCTCTCTCTCTCTCTCTCTCTCTCTCTCTCTCTCTCTTCCTGTGGACCCTTAAGGTCAGAGGAGCCGTCACAGCGACCCCAAAGAAAAAGGTACTTGTGTCTCTTGTGTGGTTATTTTGTACAGCCCGATTAGCCCAGTTTACCTGGAGTGACCCCTGAGCCGTTTAATTGTGAGAACAGAAACCTGACAGTGATCATTTCACCCCACCTTTTGTATTTATGAATATTGTCTTTAAAATCAGAACAAATATCAAAAACCAACCAACCAAGCAAAGAAACTGGCACTCTATTG